GAGGGCAGGCCTTGAAGCAAGGGCAGAGGGAGTGGACATCACAGAGCTGAAGGAGGCGTGGAGCACTGTGGGAGAGAAGGGGACCTTGCAGATGAACAGAGAAGCCCAGGGCTGCTGCTGGAATAGGGCTTAGGGACCAGGCCTGCCTCCTACTTGTCCTTCATCCTGCCCAGGGTGACTTGGACTTCTGGGGGGAACAGTTGCCTCCATCTGCACCCCACCTAAGCAACTTTAAGGGGACTTTCACATGTGATCTGTATACCTGGAGACACAGTGGAGATGTGTGCCTGTTTCCTTCTGTAAATCACACACACACACACACACACACACACACAGTCCTCCCTCTCCTGTGGTCATGGTCATCCTTCAGTACCTATTTTTCATGCTCAGAGTGGAATCCATTTGTTTCACCTTCACTGTCAGACCAGCAACACTGAGGGCCTGGAGGACAAGGGTGTCAAGACTAAATGTCACATTTTTGCATCCATGCTTCATGGAAAAATAACTCTGCAAAAGAGCACCCTCTTTTCTCTCACGGAAATTATTTGGCTAGCAAATCAGTGCTTCCAAACTTTCTCATTGTCACCTTTGACCCCATGCTAATATGTCACAGCAGGAGGCCATGGGGGCATCATAGTAAACACCCTCTGGGCAATCAGCCTCCTGCTCAGCATAGTAGGTGCCAGAGGACTGACCTGAGTTCTCTGGGGATTCACTCAGTTGTCCCTGAAGAAGCTACACAGGAATTTAGGCCCCTGGCTCCCCTTCAGCCTCAGATAAGAACCTGTGAGGCCATCCTGGAGGCCACCTCTGCCTCAATCTCCTACCTGCTAAGGGTCCTTTGTTACCCAATTAGTATTGGCTCGTTCCTCCTCATTACTCACCAGAAGTTTGCAATGACTGAAATCAACCTTCCTTGCAAGGGCTGTGTTAGTCTACTCAAGTGTTCATCCCCAAACATAATACTTTGAAGAGGTTTCCCTATAATGACACTAACATGATGTCAGTGGAGACTCATTCCCCCCTTGTGCCTACACACAAAGTGCTGGGCTGACAGTTTCTGGGCAGAGAGAAAAAGGAGATCAACTCATGCAAAATATCCAGTCCCTGTTGAACTATATTGGGTTATTTTGCTGAAATCAAGTACCTACAGTATTTGGACTGACATTAGGTATGAAAAAGTCCTTTAAAGAATTCTTCCAAATACAGCTTCTCTAACAGCAATGGAACACCCCTCTCTGACAAAACAAAACAAAAAAGGGGATATAAATGAAGGACCATTTTGTAGTGAAAACATATACACATATATGTATATACAAAATAGTTAGGATAGATATACAGCTACTTTCTCTTAGTTCAATGAGAAAAAGATTTGTACTAATAGTGTTTAGACAAGATATCATGTCTGCATCTT